TGAAAAAATATTTTTTTTCTACACAATTCACAGCTAAGCGATTACTCGATTAATCGTAAAAATAATCGATAGATTAATCGATTACAAAATAATCGTTAGTTGCAGCTCTACTCTCATGCACAATACAGATTTGGTCAATTTCACCAAATTCAGGTGATCCATATGCTGCTTTGTGAACCAGTAGCATCACCCTCCTGTAAGTTATGCCCTTGCTGGTCACACATTGCGCAAGGTGAATGTCAGGTACATCAGAGAACTTTTCCCTAATTGCTTGTGCTACTTCTTCTTTAAGCAAGTCAACTGAAAGGGCGGACACAGAAGAGACCTCCAAGTCAGGTTTGCTCAGACATGGAGAGCTTAGATGGTAACCAATCATTAACTGATGCTTGGAGGCTAAAGACAGGGGTACATTCTTGAACTTGTGTGTCTGATAACCTGCTTGAAAAAGCTATGTTTGGCCTTTGGCATAGTCCATTGACCGACAAGTGGACCAAAACGCTTGATCATCAGTGGGTAGTGCTCCAAATAATGATGTTTTGGTAGCAGCCTATTGTCAGGAAACAACTCTTGGTACCGGTGTCTGTGCTCTGTGATTTTGCCTTCCAAGAAAGCCAGAGAGTCATCGCTATGTACAGGGGCAACAACAAGCTCAGTGATGTCTTTCAAATCCATAAGAACACGCCATGCAGGCTCATCTTCAGGTACAAGTGAAAACTAAAACTACTAAACTAAAAAAGGTAAGAACCGAAGCAAGCTCCAATTCTCATGAGCATTTCCTCCCACTGTCTTTCTGCTAGAAAAGGTCTGTGGGATTACATGCGGCTTGTTTGTCTTATCAGCCCATTTGAAAGGAAACTTCAGAATGGCACTGTTTAGATCAGCTAGTGTGAAAAGCTTTTGCGATATAAGCACTTTTAAGCAATAAGCAATCTCTACTGGGATTATACCCTCAAACAAGTCATGGGCCAGATCAGGTGGATAGCCAAAGATCACACTGAAGTGAGAGAGATTTTTTGTGAAGACACAGTCACCCTTCACCCCAAAACAAGATGTACCTGTATCTTGTGCTGCTTTAATGTGGACTTGATGAAGCTCCTTGGTTCTCAGACTGAAAGCACCAGATGCAACAGAATGTTTCTGAATATCACAGCTCCTTCCGATGCAGAACCTACAAAAGTATTCCCCAGAAAAACTTTCGACAAACCCTGCAGCAGCATGTGCTCCCAAATTGTCAGCCACTACACTGAGGACTGTACCTTTGACTGACTCGCCCAGCAGCGGAACATCTCAAGCTCCTCAAGAGTTTTCAGATCCTGTAGCAAAGGTTCAAATACTTTATCAAAACCATAGGTTTTGACATCTGATTTACACAGAATGGAGAGATAGATAGAGGAGAGAGAGGAATGACAGCCCGGGGTCAGGTTAGCTAACACCCAATAAACAGCACAGAGCTTATGCTTCTTTCTCGAGGTACCAAGCGGGTTACACGTTTCAAAATCATCCACATATAGAGTTAGAATGATCTTTGGCTTTTCTCCGGCCAGAAAACTATTTTTTTTGAAAACGGAACCATTCCTTGAAGACTTGAACAAAGATGAATCTGTGCCCTCCTGGCTTTGATGGCCCTCAACAACTTGATCGACAATATCCCTCCTATTCAGCAGCTGTTGTAACATCTGCAATATTGGGACATACTGGAAACTGCGTTTTCGGCTGGCATCTAGAATATATTCAACTGGCTGTATAACACTGAAGTTCTCATTGTAATACTTTGTACGACGATATGCAGTCCTCAGTGGGCCACCTTTTTTTATGGCGCTTTGCACAGGACTGCTTGAGAAAATGGCATTGACAGCTTCTCTAACAAGGTCATCAGCAGGGATGTTTTTCTGACAAAAGATGTCACTCACAATGTCTGAGGACAGTGGAACAGGTGCAACGTAAATCAAGTGATGGAGCTCCTCTAAAAAAGTATCAACAGCTGTGCTTGGTACATGGACCAAATGCTCCAACTTAAGCAATGCAGCCGCAAATCTTTGCTCTATGACTTTTGAGTCCTCAGTCTGAGAATCACTACATGAAGGGTCAGCAGCGTCTGTCAATGAAAACTCTACATACTCTTCACCCTCTTGACCATCTGCCTCCACAGATTCGCTGACATCAGTTTTGACAACTCCAGGTTTAAAGTCAACTAACGTGTGATGGGAGTGTTTACGGTTTTTGTGTGATTTATATGTAGCATAAATGTTTGTCTTAAAGTCACACCCTAAACGTCTGAAGCACGTCTGAAGCAGGACCTGACGTCTGAAGCAAGACCTGACGTCTGAAGCAAGACCTGACGTCTGAAGCAAGACCTGACGTCTGAAGCAAGACCTGACGTCTGAAGCAAGACCTGACGTCTGAAGCAGGACCTGACGTCTGAAGCAAGACCTGACGTCTGAAGCAGGACCTGACGTCTGAAGCAAGACCTGACGTCTGAAGCAGGACCTGACGTCTGAAGCAGGACCTGACGTCTGAAGCAGGACCTGACGTCTGAAGCAGGACCTGACGTCTGAAGCAGGACCTGACGTCTGAAGCAGGACCTGACGTCTGAAGCAAGACCTGACGTCTGAAGCAAGACCTGACGTCTGAAGCAAGACCTGACGTCTGAAGCAAGACCTGACGTCTGAAGCAAGACCTGACGTCTGAAGCAAGACCTGACGTCTGAAGCAGGACATGACGTCTGAAGCAAGACCTGACGTCTGAAGCAAGACCTGACGTCTGAAGCAGGACCTGACGTCTGAAGCAAGACCTGACGTCTGAAGCAAGACCTGACGTCTGAAGCAAGACCTGACGTCTGAAGCAAGACCTGACGTCTGAAGCAGGACCTGACGTCTGAAGCAGGACATGACGTCTGAAGCAAGACCTGACGTCTGAAGCAAGACCTGACGTCTGAAGCAAGACCTGACGTCTGAAGCAGGACCTAACGTCTGAAGCAAGACCTGACGTCTGAAGCAAGACCTGACGTCTGAAGCAAGACCTGACGTCTGAAGCAAGACCTGACGTCTGAAGCAGGACTGACGTCTGAAGCAGGACATGACGTCTGAAGCAAGACATGACGTCTGAAGCAGGACATGACGTCTGAAGCAGGACCTGACGTCTGAAGCAGGACCTGACGTCTGAAGCAAGACCTGACGTCTGAAGCAGGACCTGACGTCAGAAGCAAGACCTGACGTCTGAAGCAGGACCTGACGTCTGAAGCAGGACCTGACGTCTGAAGCAAGACCTGACGTCTGAAGCAAGACCTGACGTCTGAAGCAGGACCTGACGTCTGAAGCAGGACATGACGTCTGAAGCAAGACCTGACGTCTGAAGCAAGACCTGACGTCTGAAGCAGGACCTGACGTCTGAAGCAGGACCTGACGTCTGAAGCAGGACCTGACGTCTGAAGCAGGACCTGACGTCTGAAGCAGGACCTGACGTCTGAAGCAGGACCTGACGTCTGAAGCAGGACCTGACGTCTGAAGCAGGACCTGACGTCTGAAGAAAGACCTGACGTCTGAAGCAGGACCTGACGTCAGAAGCAAGACCTGACGTCTGAAGCAGGACCTGACGTCTGAAGCAGGACCTGACGTCTGAAGCAGGACATGACGTCTGAAGCAAGACCTGACGTCTGAAGCAAGACCTGACGTCTGAAGCAGGACCTGACGTCTGAAGCAGGACCTGACGTCTGAAGCAGGACCTGACGTCTGAAGCAGGACCTGACGTCTGAAGCAGGACCTGACGTCTGAAGCAAGACCTGACGTCTGAAGCAGGACCTGACGTCTGAAGAAAGACCTGACGTCTGAAGCAGGACCTGACGTCAGAAGCAAGACCTGACGTCTGAAGCAGGACCTGACGTCTGAAGCAGGACCTGACGTCTGAAGCAGGACCTGACGTCTGAAGCAAGACCTGACGTCTGAAGCAGGACCTGACGTCTGAAGAAAGACCTGACGTCTGAAGCAGGACCTGACGTCAGAAGCAAGACCTGACGTCTGAAGCAGGACCTGACGTCTGAAGCAGGACCTGACGTCTGAAGCAAGACCTGACATCAGAAGCAGGACCTGACGTCTGAAGCAAGACCTGACGTCTGAAGCAAGACCTGACGTCTGAAGCAAGACCTGACGTCTGAAGCAGGACCTGACGTCTGAAGCAAGACCTGACGTCTGAAGCAAGACCTGACGTCTGAAGCAAGACCTGACGTCTGAAGCAGGACCTGACGTCTGAAGCAAGACCTGACGTCTGAAGCAAGACCTGACGTCTGAAGCAGGACCTGACGTCTGAAGCAGGACCTGACGTCTGAAGCAAGACCTGACGTCTGAAGCAAGACCTGACGTCTGAAGCAAGACCTGACGTCTGAAGCAGGACCTGACGTCTGAAGCAAGACCTGACGTCTGAAGCAAGACCTGACGTCTGAAGCAAGACCTGACGTCTGAAGCAAGACCTGACGTCTGAAGCAGGACCTGACGTCTGAAGCAGGACATGACGTCTGAAGCAAGACATGACGTCTGAAGCAGGACATGACGTCTGAAGCAAGACCTGACGTCTGAAGCAAGACCTGACGTCTGAAGCAAGACCTGACGTCTGAAGCAAGACCTGACGTCTGAAGCAAGACCTGACGTCTGAAGCAAGACCTGACGTCTGAAGCAAGACCTGACGTCTGAAGCAGGACCTGACGTCTGAAGCAGGACCTGACGTCTGAAGAAGCCTAGACCGACGTCTGAAGCAGACCTGACGTCTGAAGCAGGACCTGACGTCTGAAGCAGGACCTGACGTCTGAAGCAGGACCTGACGTCTGAAGCAGGACCTGACGTCTGAAGCAGGACCTGACGTCTGAAGCAAGGACCTGACGTCTGAAGCAGGACCTGACGTCTGAACGTCTGAAGCAGACCTGACGTCTGAACTGACCTGACGTCGAAGCAGACCTGACGTCTGAAGCATGACCTGACGTCTGAAGCAGGACCTGACGTCTGAAGCAAGACCTGACGTCTGAAGCAAGACCTGACGTCTGAAGCAGACCTGACGTCTGAAGCAGACCTGACGTCTGAAGCAAGACCTGACGTCTGAAGCAGACGACGTCTGAAGCAGGACCTGACGTCTGAAGCAGACCTGACGTCTGACGTCTGAAGCAGGACCTGACGTCTGAAGCAGGACCTGACGTCTGAAGCAGCCTGACGTCGAACAGACCTGACGTCTGAGCAGACCGACCTGACGTCTGAGCAGACTGACGTCTGAAGCAGGACCTGACGTCTGAAGCAGACCTGACGTCTGAAGCAGACCTGACGTCTGAAGACCTGACGTCTGAAGCAGACCTGACGCTCAGACCTGACGTCTGAAGCAGACCTGACGTCTGAAGCAGACCTGACGTCTGAAGCAGGACCTGACGTCTGAAGCAAGACCTGACGTCTGAAGCAAGACCTGACGTCGAGAAGCAGCAGACCTGACGTCTGAAGCAGACCTGACGTCTGAAGCAGACCTGACGTCTGAAGCAGACCTGACGTCTGAAGCAGACCTGACGTCTGAAGCAGGACCTGACGTCTGAAGCAGAGACCTGACGTCTGAAGCAGGACCTGACGTCTGAAGCAGAAGACAGACCTGACGTCTGAGCAGACCTGACGTCTGAAGCAAGACCTGACGTCTGAAGCAAGACCTGACGTCTGAAGCAAGACGTCTGAAGGACCTGACGTCTGAAGCAAGACCTGACGTCGAAGGACCTGACGTCTGAAGCAAGACGTCTGAAGCAGACCTGACGTCTGAAGCAGACCTGACGTCTGAAGCAAGACCTGACGTCTGAAAGCGAGACCTGACGTCTGAAGCAGACCTGACGTCTGAAGCAAGACCTGACGTCTGAAGCAGACTGACCTGACCTGAAGCAGACCTGACGTCTGAAGCAGGACCTGACGTCTGAAGCAGGACCTGACGTCTGAAGACTGACGTCTGAAGCAGACCTGACGTCTGAAGCAGACCTGACGTCTGAAGCAGACCTGACGTCTGAAGCAGACCGTGAACGACTGACTCGAAGCAAGACCTGACGTCTGAAGCAGGACCTGACGTCTGAAGCAAGACCTGACGTCAGCAGCAAGACCTGACGTCTGAAGCAAGACCTGACGTCTGAAGCAAGACCTGACGTCTGAAGCAAGACCTGACGTCTGAAGCAAGACCTGACGTCTGAAGCAAGACCTGACGTCTGAAGCAAGACCTGACGTCTGAAGCAAGACCTGACGTCTGAAGCAAGACCTGACGTCAGCAGCCCCCCGCCCAGAGCAATGTAAACGGCCCAGTCTCGTTCACGCCCCCTTTAGTCCTCTAGGCCACGCCCATTTAGAGGAAGATTTGAACAGGAAATGTGAGTGACGTAAGCTCCGAGGAGCGGGGGTGAGAACCACTTTAAATTTAATAAAACAAATTGTCATTAATCTGTATATTGCAATGTTTTGCTTAGTTTGGGTTGGTTTTTGTTTACCTATCACCGTGTATTTTCACCAAAAAGGCTGCTACTAACACGTTAGCTTCCCCGGAGCAGGTACAAGGTCTCTCTCTGTCTGCGTCTCTGGCATGTCTGACGAGCACGTACAGAGGACGTAGAGGTTAGGAGAGGAGACTTGACCTTATTGGCTAATGATGACTTTATACTATAGCGCAATTGGCTGCTCGGGGTGTCAACCAAATATATTTTTTACGTCTTTTTAAATGATGTTTTTAACGATATTTATCAATTTATATTTATATACTTTTTGTCAATATTTATTATTATGAAATTTTAATCAGTATTATTATTTTTAATCACGTTTTTAACACTGGGTTACATGTGGCTCAGAGAATAGACTTTAAAACAGCTCTGCTTGTTACAAGTCTCTCCATGGCCTCGCACCAAAATATATTAGTGACATGTTAGTACCATATGAACCAGCCCGGACAGGGACTGGACTCCTGCTGGGACTCTGAGGAGCACAGGGACTGGACTCCTGCTGGGACTCTGAGGAGCACAGGGACTGGACTCCTGCTGGGACTCTGAGGAGCACAGGGACTGGACTCCTGCTGGGACTCTGAGGAGCACAGGGACTGGACTCCTGATGGGACTCTGAGGAGCACAGGGACTGGACTCCTGCTGGGACTCTGAGGAGCACAGGGACTGGACTCCTGCTGGGACTCTGAGGAGCACAGGGACTGGACTCCTGCTGGGACTCTGAGGAGCACAGGGACTGGACTCCTGTTGGGACTCTGAGGAGCACAGGGACTGGACTCCTGTTAGTGCCCAGAGTCAGAACTAAACATGGGGAGGCTGCTTTTCAGATTCATGCTGCTAAAATCTGGAACAATCTTCCTGAAGATGTGAGACAGGCCTCCTCTCTGACAATGTTTAAAACCAGGTTAAAGACAGTTCTGTTTAGCTGTGCTACAACTGAGGGATTTTATATTTTTATCTTTCTTTTTAAAGCCCATATGTCATATTAGACCACTCTTTTCAGTAAGCATAGAGAACGGTACTGTAATTGTGATTCCAGGTAAAAAATAATGTAGGAGCTATTTGCTTGATTGATTTAATTATTTAGGGTTTTGAACATTTTTTAATATTTAGTATTTTTTTGCTGAGGTTAGTATTTTTGTTTTTTGGTAATTTAGATATTTTTGTAGATTATTTTGGGTTTACTTCAGTTCGGTTTAGTTTTTTGGTTTAGTGGCACCTAGGGGATATAAGGGGGCAGTACAGGGCGGGCCTTCATGCACCTGGGTGGGCCTATGGGTTTTTACCAGTTCTGGGAGATGCAGCATTTTTGTGTTGTTTGCTGCAACTTGATGAATAAACCCCTTTTGAACTTTACATTTTTTGGAATGGACAATTGTTTATTTTTTGTACTGCGTAAACCACTTACCCATGGTGCATTCTAGTGATTATTTGAGTTTGTTCTTAAGTTTGGTTACATTTGGTTTGATAGTCTATTTTTTGACAAATAGTCACTAAAAGCGAGTAAAAAACCTTGCCCTTGAACCAACAAGAATACTCATCACATCAATCGAGTGGTTTCTTGCGGATAAATGCGTGGATGCCTGCGTAAAGTTTGTTTTGATTCATCGCCTTCGGGTCCTGATTGCTCCAGCTGCCTCACCTCAACAATCAAAGCCCTCCTGGTCTCCTCTGCAAATGGTATGTGGAGTATTACTAATGCTGTAATGGAAAACAGCCAAACGATTGGAGTTTGAAGATAGTAATTAACACTGCCATATTCAAGGATATTGTAGGGTGACTACTTGTATTAGCTGATTATGA